GCCGATGCCTCCGTCGCCTGGCTGGAGTGGCCGCGGGGGAGTCTGGAGTCGGGCGGCCGCTGGTGGGAGCCGCGGGTGCCCGGGCCGAGATTGGGGGGGCAAGGCGGGCGACAGAAGGCCGATGCCTCCGTCGCCCGGCCCTCTACAGAATCCACCCCCCAAACCTCCAGGTATTTCCCTCCTTAGAGCTGGCAACCCTACATTCCCCTCAGTGCCTGTTGGTAGGCAACTAAGCTTGGTCCTGTCACCTACTTTGGCCTTTGGGAGAAAACACATTGGGGCCAATCCTGATAGGGTTGCCAACTCCAGATGGGAAATTCCTGGAGATTTGAGGGATGGAGCCTGAAGAGGGTGAGGTTTGAGGAGGGGTGGGACCTCAGACAGGTACACTGCCATAGACTCCACCCTCCAAACCAGTCAGTCTCACATAGGGAACCATTGTTGCCAATCTCCAGGTGAGGGCTGGAGAGCACTCAGTATTACAACTGCTCTGCAGAAGGGAGGGCAGAAGTCAGCTGAAGTCAAAGGGGCAGATAATGGTAGGTTGGTGGCTAGCTGGGAAGGAGATGGGGTTGCCAACTACATGCTGACAAATTCCTGGGGATTTGAGGGGTGGAGCCTGGAGAGGGTGGGGTTTGCAGAGGGGTGGGACCTCAGACAGGTAGAATGCCATAGACTCCACCCTCCAAACCAGCCATTTTGTCCTGGGTAACAATTGCTGCCAATCTCCAGGTGAGGGCTACAGATTACTCACAATTACAACTGCTCTTCAGGTAGCAGAGATCAGTTCCTCTGGAGAAAACAGTGGACTCTGTCATTATACCCTGCTGAGGTCACCACAGCAAATTGACACTGTTTGCCCAAAGCCAGAGCACTGCCCCAGAGCCTCTTTCTAGATCCCGTTGTATTGCTTTCACAACGGGCTTTACTGCTAGTAAGCTATAAATGACGTTTTGGGACCGGTTGCAGATTGAAAGCGAAGTAAAGAGAAGGGACTTATACCCAATCTACATAAAGAAGAAAATTTGCCCGGTGATTAAGGACAGATTCTCCAGAAGAAAATTAGGCCCTAAAAGGAAAGAACTGAAACTGTTTTTAAGGCTGGTTAGACTTGCCATAATAATATGGACCATTAGGAGAAGAAAATAAAGATTGTAATAAAGGAAGGGGAGATGAGATAGTATATATATGTTTGAAGAAGTCCTGGTTTTAAGAGGGGGGGAGGTTACCAATTGGGGGAACAACATTTTTAAAAATGACGCATGCTATCATGAGTTAAAATGCTTTTTCCATACATCCAGGGAGGCTCTTTCATTAGGGCTGTGGGGCTGCCCCACCCCCAAGAAAGAAAAAGAACACACTAACCAATAGATTTGTCTTTGCCATTGCTGGCACCACTTCAAGACCTCGACATGAGCGGCTGGTGAATTTTGCAGCTGGTGAGGCTGTAGAGGAGGTATGCATGCTATGTATGTGAGTGTCGTTCATGTGCCATTTCGGCATATCTATGCAGTTTTCTGCGCCTATATTTTTGGATCCACCCTTCCTTCAGCACTCACTGAATAATGCGTCGCCCCCATCCCACTTCAGGATTCCTATCTAGTAAGGAATGAAGACCCAGAAGTGACACCACAGCATCCGTGACACTCTAGGAATCCCACCAGTCTCTATGGTAAAGACCATGGAGTTTGGGGAAAGTTCCTAGAATGTCTGGGATGTTGTGATGTCCTTCCTCATTTTCCCTCCCGCTGTTGCATCAAGTGAGTATGGGGGAAGGAGAGCAGTGGTGCAAGGTTGCCCCCCCCCAAAGGGCAGGCAACTGTTAAGCCTAGAGAGGGATGTTGGGTCCAGTGTTCCCTCTAAGCTGAATTAGTGTGAGCTAGCTCACAGTTTTTTAGCCTCCGGCTCACACATTTTTGTCTTCGCTCAGGAAGGATGGCTTCAGAGCAAACTAATTTATGCAGTAGCCAAATCACTTGCTCACAACTTTAATGCCAGTAGCTCACAAAGTAGAATTTTTGCTCACAGGATTCCACAGCTTAGAGGGAGCATGGGTTGGGTCTGTTTGTTAGCATGTTGAAATTCTTTGGTCACGTGGTGTTTCTATGGGTGGGATACCCCACATGGCTGTGAGTGATAGTCATTACTACACTCTGTTTCTAATAGGTAACTAACTACCAAGAGTACAAGAAGAGCACAAGAAGACACATCCTGAATGTAACATTATCTTGTTTAATGGCATATTTCTGCACCTTTTCAAGAAAATTTTAAGGAAACCAAGAATACTTACCGCTTGGCGAAGCTGTTACAGGCTCCGTTTGCCTTAGTTCATCCACTGTGGGCACGTTAAGGGATAACGTCAAGACCATTCCCAGGCCTGTACCAACCCAAAGACACGGAGACACGGCGGTGTCGTTTTTCCGTACAAATGACTCCATGAAGTATAAAGCTGTAATGGTTTCCTTAGACTCTTTGTCAATACTGGAGACGCTGGAACTTCGGGAATGGCTGAAGGAGTTTTCTCTGTTTTCTGTTTGAAGAAAGCAAAACATCTGAGCCAAACCAGTGGGTTCAGCTATCCCAGGGCCGTCCGTTATGATTGGTAGAAGCTCTCCAAAGGCAGAGTGTCTACCTGACAAAGATCCTTGTCATTGGAGATGTCTTTTAAATGAACATAAGAAGAGCCCTGCTGGATCAGACCAAGGGTCCATCTAGGCCAGCATCCTGTCTCACACAGTGGCCAACCAGTTCCTCTGGAGGGCCAACAATAGGGCACAGAGGCCGAGGCCTTCCCCTGATGTTGCCTCCTGGCTCTGGGATTCAGAGGTTTGTTGACTCTGTATATATGGAGAGTCTCTTTAGTTACCATGGCTAGTAGCCATTGATGGACCTGTCCTCCATGAACCTAGACTAGGGGTGTCAAACTCATTTGTTATGGGGCCTGGATCTGACATAAATGAGACCTTGCTAGGCCGGGCCGTGTGTGTCATAAAATGTAATGCCAGGTAGCGGGAAGTATAAACTTTATAAAGGACATAAACACAAAGGGGTTTTTTTACTTAAAAACATGCTTAAAACATTAGCACTCTTGCAATATTTTATTTAACAGTATCTTATAACTGACACTTCTTGCTCTGAATTATTGCATCAAAATGTCTGTGCTGTTGCAATCTTAAGTATGCTGTTCAAGTGTGCATCTGTGAGTTGCAAACCTACTTTTGGTTTATTGACATTCACCACAGAAATCTCATGCTCAGAGTTCTGAGTCTAGGACCCAGGTTAAAACATGAAATGGCTGAGCAATTGAGAAAGTCTGGCAAAGCAAGCTATGATGCAGCAGCAGCAGTAGAATTGGAAGCAGGAGATGGCCAGTTCCACTGCAGGCCTGATGGAAGCCCTTCAGGGGGGCCTGATTCGGCCCCCGGGCCGCATGTTTGAAACGCCTGACCTAGACCTTGTACAAGCAAAGAATATGCTCTTCTCCTGATCAGTGGCTCTTCTTCTGTACACAGCACATGAACCTATGTGATTACAGAAAAGATAAATGTCTGAACAGCAAGCCTGGTTGTATCCACAACCTCCAAGCTATCAGAGAAAAGAATATAAAATATTTTCAGACCACTAATGAACACAGAAATAGTAATAATACTAATCTTCTCAAGTATAAAGCATTTCAGATGTCATTTGTATTTACTGATTTTCAAAATGTATTAGTTGCAGACTTTGTCACAATAGCAACAAAAACAACATAAGAACATGAGAAAAGCCCTGCTGGATCAGACCAGTGGTCCATCTGGTCAGGCATCCTGTCTCACACAGTGGCCAACCAGTTCCTCTGGAGGGCCAACAACAGGGAACAGAGGCCTTCCCCTGATGTTGCCTCCTGGCTCTGGGATTCAGTGCCTCTGAATGTGGAGGTTCCCCACAGCCACCATGGCTACTAGCCATTGATAGTCCTTGTCCATGAATCTATCTAATCCCCTTTTAAAGCTGTTTATTCCTGTGGCCATCTCACTACATCCTCTGGCAGCGAATACCACATTTTAATCACTCTCTGCATAAAGTAGTATTTCCTTTTGTCCATCCTGAACCTACTGCCCATCATACGACCCTAACAACCAAAATCTGGAATCCACCACACAACGCAATGAAATACTCAGACCACTAAGCTGACATTCCCAAGTCAATCAGCAAAATCATCACACCGTCCATACAGTTGTTTAAATTGCTCGGAAGCCTAGAAATGCTTTCTTTTGATTAAAAAAAATGTTACTTGGCAATGAAATGAAATGAAATGACATCAGTGAAGTGCTCAGCGGAGCTTCTCGTGGGAAATTGTTCCAAAGGATCAATGCCGCTACTGTAAACACCCTTGCCCTCCGAAAATGCACATGCCCGAGCAGAAGGACACAGAGTAAGACAGGACTGTAAGCAAGCACTGTGTGGAACAATCCTAGGAGATTTTGAGAGTAGTGCCAGGTAAGGTGGTGTTTGGGGAGGATGTGACATTACCTCTGGGTGACACTCTAGGAACTTCCCCTAATGTCTATGGTGAAGACCAGAAACACAGCGAAATTCCTAGAGTGCCACTGTCATTTTCTGGCCATTTTTTCTCCCACTCCTCCCACAGACAGGCAAATGGCGAATCCTGAGTGAGACCCGCTGCACTCTGGATCAGGGAGGAACATGGAGGTGAAGCCGTTTCCTGGGATATGTTGGTCACCTCCCACGCTACTGTTGGCTAGGAGCAAGCCAATTCATTGTGGTCATCACAGCCCTCCTAGTTTCGCTGCCCCAAGCGGGCAAGAACCAGCCCTGCTTATCAGTCTGATCCAGCATGCCACTTAAGTGAATCTTCAGGCTCTCTAACTGGTCCCACAACTGGCCAAAAAGGAACTCTGTACATCTAAGGACTTGGAATTGAACCCACGTGGACTCGCTGCTTAACGAAGCAAAAAGTCCCAAGAACTCCATTCACAGAACTCTTTTGGTTCCAGCCCTCACGGGAAATGTTCTCTACCTAACAACAGCCCAAGTATAGGGTTGCTAGGTCCCCTCTGGCCACTGGTAGGGGATGGGGGGGTGTAGGGTCAGGCCTGTAGCCACAGGGGGCATTTGGGGGCAATGCCCCCCAGAGCTGAGCGCTGCCCCCTCGGGGGGATCAGATTTTTTAAAAATGATGCATGTAGGGGTTTCAAAATGACCCCAGGCACAGTCAGGGAAGCTTCAGTCTCGTTTTCCTTTTTTTCAGGGCAAAAAAAATAAATAGGATGTTTAAAATGCAATGGCTACACCCCTGGGTAGGGTTGCCAGACCCAGGTAGGGAAACTCCTGGAGATTTGGGGATTGAGCCTGGGGAGGACCGGGAGCTCAGTGGGGGGTCCAATGCCACAGAGTCCACCCTCCAAAGCATCCATTTTCTCCCGGGGAACTGATCTCTGTAGTCTGAAGATGAAGTGTAATTCCTGGGGATCCCCAGGTCCCACCTGGAGGCTGGCATCCCTGGGCCCCCGAGACTAGCAGTTTAGAAACCCTGCTGGCAAGGAGTTTCAAGTTAAACAGCACAATTATGGCACCTAAGTGTTTGCAGATGGTGAAAGTGACAGATGCCCGGTGCCCTGAGACACTCACCTTCCGTTGAAACCGGCAGAGAAATCTCCATACAGGCAGCAGATTGTGCTTTCCTAAACGGAGGCTTGCTAGGAACCCGGCGGTTTATTTTTGTGACGTCCGCACTGGAGAGCCGTTTTCCAGAGCCGCAGCTTAGAGAAGTGGGACTTGTGCAGTGTCCATTCACGTGATCTGTAAAGAAGAGGGAAAAGAGATTGGATTTATATCCCACCTTTCACTACCCGAAGGAGTCTCAGAGCAGCTTACAATCTCCTTTCCCTTCCCCTCCCCACAAGAGACACCCTGTGAGTTAGGTGGGGCTGAGAGAGCTCTTTTGAGGACTGCTCTTGAGAGAACAGCTGTGAGAGAACTTGTGACTGACCCAAGGTCACCCAGCTGGCTTCATGTGGAGGAGTGGGGAGTCCTGTGAGCTAGCTCACAGTTTTTTAGCCTCCAGTCCACACGTTGGCTCAGGAAGGATGTGGCTCCAGAGCAAACTAATTTATGCAGTAGCCAAATCGCTGGCTCACAGCTTTAATACCAGTAGCTCACAAAGTAGAATTTTTGCTCATAAGACTCCACATCTTAGAGGGAGCATTGACGGTGACCATAGAGTTTTTTTACCCAAATGCTAGAGTGTCCCTGCACGACGTGCCCGGCGCGATGACATCAGTTCCTTGGTGCAAGCAACTCATTAGAATCCACTGCTGGACAACAGAAGGTTGTACTCTATTAACAAAGAATCTGTAAAATTACATGGGTTGTGCCCCACAGGTCCATTCCATCAGCGGAGGCGCAAGGGGCCTTCCGGTAACGCCAGGGGGGAACTCCCTGTGCCAGAGCAAAGCACCATTTAGGGGAGCCAGGTCTCCCACTGTAGCTATAATAGGTGACCTCCTGAGAATTTTCCCCCAGACCCCCCCGGTGGGGGGGGGGGGTTTAAAGAAATGCGCCCCCCCCAATCATAAAGTTTTAGGTGAATCCTAGAGCATTGCCGTGACGTGATGATGTCACATTCAGTTTGACAAGAAACTGACCTCACGTGCCACTGTGACACTGGCATCCCTGTAGCTGCCCCCAGTTCCTCCCAGGGATTTGCCATCTCCTCCCGGCAGCCCTCAGGCCACCAGGGGAACAGATCCACAACACCCCACCTCATTGGGGCGCGCGAACACTTCCTGCATCCAATTAACAATACTTTTCTGCTCGAAATGTTATCTTCTAATAGAAGTTAAAATACTGAAGTAAATATATGAAGTGTAAAGGAAAAAAGGGTGGAGCACTGCGGGAAGCCATTAGTAAGGGTAGGGGGGAAGGGAAATATGAGTGAAAAGTGAAACTAAATGTTAAATGTGATATTATATCCCAAAATAAAAGTTTTGTGGGGGAAAAAACCAATACTTTTCTGCCCGTTACATTTAGAAATCCCGCATCATAACGGAGTTAAGCTCAGCGCTCCGAAACATTCAAGGAACAAACAGATCTCACGAAAAATTGGTGCGTCACGAGCCACTAAGTTTTACCTGAGGCTGTTGGGGACTTGCAGCGCTCCAGCTCCAGCGAAACCGGGCCGTCTGACAACTCGGTAAGGCCTAATAAGGGACAGAATTTTACAAAACGTGTATCAACATGTATCAACATTGCAAAAATCCAATTATTTCAAATGACAGACGGTGCAACAGCTGTAACGAGATGCACACCAAATGAACTAAACCTGTGCCCAGAACCGGTAAAGGTAACGCAAATGTGGAAATTGGTTTCTGCCTGCGTAGCCCTGGCTGGATGAGGAACTTCTTCCCCCAAGTGGGTGCCGCAGGTGTAGTCCCTGTGGCCGAGTGTGCCCCAATCAAATTGAGCACTATGCTCTGTCCCATCTAAAACAAGTAACTGGCCCCATATCCAATCTTTCTGCAACCCCAGATAATAACGCTACGGCATTATACCCCGCTGAGGTCCCTCCCCTTCCCAAGCCCCACCCTCCACAGGCTCCGCCTCCAAATCTCCAGGAATTTCCCAATCCACTGTCGGCAACTCTAGCCTGTTCAGTTGCATCCGCTCCGCTGCCTACTGCTATACATTTGTCTATCGATATATATAACAACAGCTCGGCCTAATGTAATTAATCTAGGCCCTGTATCTAGATTTGTGATTCTTAAGAAATACATGCCTCTTCCTGAAGGAAAACTGAGAAGCTGGGAAGGGGGTAGCGATGAATTCTGTCAGACGATAAATTTGTGATATTATTTCCAAAATGGGTGAAGAGGAGGTGTTCTCATTTGCTCTCCCCCCTCCCCGTACTGAGGGAACAAAGTGTTACTAATTTTATATTGTTAGGCCTGTCAGGTCCCCCCCCGGGGGGGGTTGCCCGCCCAAAAGGTCCCCAACCCGTCGGTCTGGATCCGGCCGGCGGGGGGAACTCCACCCCCAAAGGGCTCAGATCGGGCCGACATGGCCGGCGCAATGATGTCGCCCGGAAGTGACGTCATCACGCTGGGCACGTCACCGGGCAACGCTCTAGCAATCAGCCTGACTCTATGGTACCATATGTCCCAGCCTGGGACCAACTCTCCCCCGCTCCACAACGTAAGTCACTTGGCAAGCCTATATATTGTCACGGCTATCTCATTAAACAATTTTGAGATGCTGTGTCCTTTCTTTCTTGCTCTCCCAGTGTGTATGTGAATTGTAGACTTTTTAAATAAATGTTTTTAAAAAACAGATCAGAGGGATCTCGGCTTTGACTTCAGTTCTCTGAGTCCCTTTCACTTCTCTTTTTTCTAAAAGTAATCCTGGCCTTTGGACACACACGTGGCAGAAAATAAGGCTATGGATAGTTGCTGTACGGCATGGGGAGGCTTTGAGAAAACATCTCCCCGGCAGTTAAGAAAACTACGGTTTTGGTTTAACACATATCACAAATCCATTCCAGTCTCTTTTTTGAAAATCAGAAGCTTCAGTCGTGCTGAGCCCCAGGACCTCTGACACCCATCAACTTATGTTGACTGGGATGGAACGTGATGCCATGAAATGTTCTCAGACATTCCAGCTACTCAGAGGATGAGCAACAATAAAATGTTTCCAGTCCAGCTTCAACAAGGAACGGTTTGGCTAATTCACACAGATTTAGGGGAAGTCCATATAGGGCAGAGGTGTCAAACTCATTTGTTACGAGGCAAAACTCATTTGTTATGCGGCAAAACCATTTGTTGTGCGTATTGTTTATAGCTGTAATTAGAACTGTATAAGGAGACGGAAGTCTCTAGTGTAATTTGTACAGCGCGACAGATTATTCTGCTTATCTGTTTGCATAACGGCCTCGGCTGTATTTCCATTTTTGCGTGGTTGACTACCTGGGGACTAGCAACCCTATGACAATACGGAATTACTTGTTCAAATATTTCTCCCGCACTTTCTCCTGAAGCCCCAAGGCATCTTGCACATTCGAAAAGCCACAACGAGAAGAACGGTAACATAAAAACCAAACAGTACAACAAAGAGGGACGCCAGGAGCAATTAAAGTCAAGAAGACCAACAGAGGCGTAGTAGAAATCCAGCCGTGGTTACAACTAAACCGCCTCTCCCCATATGAGCCCTGTAGAGCACTGAGATCTACAGATCAACACCTTTTGGTAGTCCCCGGCCTTGCCTGGTCACCATAGAGTTTTCACCCAAATGCTAGAGCGTCCCCTGCACAACATGCCCAGCATGATGACGTCACCCCCAGGCACATCAGGTGCAATGGGGTTCTTCAGGGGTGGGGCTCTAAAAGATGGGAAAACCCTGCCCCTCTAGGGCAATATGGCAACCCTATTTTGCACCAGGAAATCTGTGAAGGCCAAAGGTAGTGTGTGAGAACTCCTGACTTGATTGGTCCCCCCCACACTAAGCGAGATCCCCTGGCTCAAAAAGCTTTTGAGTTCTCTCCAATTGCAGAGATGTCAAGAGCAGTTCCACATGTCCTGGCAGACCTCATTCCATGCCTATGGCATGGTAGACCCACCACTAATTTTATGGCTCCTGCAGCTACCTAACCGTGACAGCCTCCAAAAGTGGCCATGAAAAAGGCAATTTAAAAAACCACTTGGTTTTTGTGTTAATCCCAAAATATCTCTGTTTATTGATATGACAGAATAATGGATTTTTGGCCACTGTGTGACAAGAGTGTTGGACTGGATGGGCCATTGGCCTGATCCAACATTGACTTCTCTTGTGTTCTTCTGTTCTTCTGTTGGATCCTGCAACCCCATGTGAACTAATCTTTATGGCCACGTATCTAACGGGAAGCACCCTCAGAACCAAAGAGAGGCATACCAGAACGTTGCCACCAAAACAGACACGTGTCACACGTCACGTCCGAAAGGGAAACGGAAGAGCATGCAGGCCGAATGTGTTTACGACGCACATTCAAAGTCACAAACCGGTCTCGACAAAGCGCGAGGCCTAATCGTGCCGGGACTTACTCTGATAGGAAGTACGGATCCGTTTCGTTAAATCAGGATAAAAGTTAGAGAGGCCACGCATGCAAAAGTTGTCTTTGGGGCATGCCAGAACACACCAGCACCAGCAGCAGGCAGAGGGGAGAGAGAGAGAAACAGTCCAAAGTGAAAGGAAGTGATACCAGAACCAGCATCTCGGCAAGGTTAGGAGCAGGATGCTTTCCACAGACCCTTTTTGGGGTCAGGAGGCACACCGAAGGAACGGATTGAACAGAAAAGGAGGTGTGGGGGGGGGGAGAGAGATGGGGAAGAGACGGGGCGTGCGTGATGGCTTATCCTGAAGGGTAATTTTGGAACAGTCGAAAGAGGTTTCAGGGCTATTTTTGGGCAGGAACGCACAGGAACGGAGTCCCGGCTGGCTCCTGAGTTGGCCACGCCCAGCAGGAACTCCATTAGCATAATAGGACACACCTAACAGCAGAAACTCATTAGGATTGGCTACATTAGGGGTGTGTGGCCTAACATGCAAAGAAGTTCCTGCTACAAAAAAAAAGCCCAGGGTTTTGACAACAAACAAAGTAAACAGAATAAGAAGCAAAAGGTAAGTGTGGCTGGATGACCACACTTCTGGTAACATGGGGGTGTGGCCTAATATGCTAATAGATTTCTGCTGTTGGGTGTGGCCTGTTATGCTAATAAGTTCCTGCTGGGCTTTTTCTACAAAAAAAGCCCTGGTTATTCTTAATGTGATTTGTAGATTATGGGCTCACTCGGCAATGGCTGAAATTTGGCCCTGATTCGCCTGTGCAAATGGTAAGAAGTGGTAATAGCAGTGGGGCTAGATTTGCTCCTATACTGACCCACATTTCTGGCTCAGCATAGTACTCCACACCAGGTTTTGTTTTTCCCCCTGTGCTTCAGGTCAGAGTTGCCTAATAGTTGGGCTCTTTTTTGCCATGAAAGAGACACACACACCCCGAAAAAAAATGGTGGGTTACAACCAGTGTTCCCTCTAAGCTGAGTTAGTGTGACCTAGCTCGCAGTGTTTTAGCCTCCGGCTCACACATTTTTGTCTTTGCTCAGGAAGGATGGCTCTGGAGCAAACTAATTTATGCAGCAGCCAAATCGCTCACTCACAACTTTAATGCCAGCAGCTCACGAAGTAGGATTTGTGCTCACAAGACTCCACAGCTCAGAGGAAGCATTGGTTACAGCAGTCAAGCGCAACGTGAGCTATAGCTGCTATGCAGTTTTGGTCACTTTATATAGGGAAGGACGGGGCAAGTAGTTGATTTTAAATGCCCTGCTGGATTGGAGACAGAACATCTTCCGTTGGGAAGGTGTGACTTCCTAGTCTACAGAAAGCCACAGAAAAGAGGAGGAGTCCAGTAGCATCTTAAAGACTAACAAAATTTGTGGCAGGGGAGGAGCTTTCCTGAGTCACGGCTCACAACAGTGGGTCTTAACAGTACATGCCTATCAGCCTCTACCTAGGAGTTCAACTCTTTGGGGGGCGGGGACGACAGTTTCTTGCCTTCTTACATTTGAAATGCCGTGATCCAACATTACCTGTGAACAGCCACAATTTAAAGAGGTGCAAAAAGTGACAGTAATTTCCTTCTATAGTCTGTATTATTTATTTTATATTGATCACTATGCAATGATATAATAAAAAGTCTCTACTGCTACCTTTTTGTAGGAGGGGTTCTTTTACACTCAAGGTCACCTGCTTTTATGTATAACCTCTTTTTTTTATGCAGGTCGTCTTACAGTCTGGGTCATCTGGCTTTTGAGTAAATATGGTCATATAGCAGTTACTTTTCTTTAAAAAAAAAAAAGCCAGCACAAAAGTCCTCCATTGGACGTGAGGGGATGACCAAGAAAATTATAGTGAACATCCCCATGTGGACGCTTCATTGCCACTGCAAATGCAGGATGGGGGACTGTATGCCCACAGGTCCCGATGTCCCCTGCTATTTGAAGTGGCAGCAGGAGAAAAAAAGAAACAGCAGCATCACATGAGCTATTACATCACTTCCGGTGAAAATGCGGAAGTTGCAGAGGACAGCTCTAGGAGTTGCCAGAAACTCCATGGTTTTACCATAGAGTTTCTGACGATTCCTAGAGTTGCCCTCTGTCACTTCCGCATTTTCACCGGAAGTGATGTAATGGCACACACACTAAGGTGCAGCCCTCCCCATGTCCCACCCCCAAACCTTCCACGGGTCTCCAGACACAGCCTGATAATCTTAGATTGTGGGTGAGAGTGAAAGAGGATGTAGTTGTGTATGGGAAGGTAACAGAATATGAATGTTTTTATGACAGTGAGTCTGTCTGGAAGAACGAAATACGTAAATAAATAAATGAGCAAAGAAAAAGAACAAATGTATGTTCATGACAGGAACATGGGTAGTGGTACAAATACTCATCTTTGCCCTTTTACCTTTTCTCCTCCACCAGCCATGTGTGTATGTATACATGTAAATTGGCGAGGGGGAATATGGATACAAGGAAGTGTTTCATCTCTTGTATTTTCCCTCAGGAACAGTGTAATTTACATTTTAAGAACCATGAGGCTAGACTACAATAATTGTAATTGTAGTTTTTCCCCAGCCTTCATTGTTTACATCTGAGACTTCTAACAAGATTGGCGTTTTCCTATCATTTTGAAATTTGGGTTTGCAAAATATTCTGAAGATGTGCTAAGTAACTACTTATTCCATTTCTCGTATGACACATTTTAATTGGAAAATAAGAGTTACAACATTTTGCTACCCACGTACAAATTCTAATGTCCACCATTCATTTAGGGGGATTTTGATTGATACCCAGTTCTAAAAATGGAAGACAAAATATAACAAGACTCTTATATCTCAGTTAGGGACCTCGGGAGTCATTGCATGCACACCAATGGAGTTATTTAGTGACTGTTTTGATTACCTCCGCCATTTGCGGTTAAAAAGCAAAATAAAAGCAGAATACACAGATGGGTTTAAAACTAACATTTCTTCACTTTGTAAGTATTTCATGAAAGGGAAGGAATCAGACCGTTAATCTTCAACATTGTGCAGATTAGCAAGAAAGCTGAACTTCTTAAAAAGAAAACTGCCTGAAGCCATTTAAGATGTCAGCTTTCCACCAAAACCAACAATTTTTGCCAGTTCTGGAGGTGTCAGTAACTTAACAAGCAGTCAGTCAGACGCCCCTGATGCGGTCACACGCATTCTTCTGACTTAGCATCCAGGCATGCAATTCAAACTTATTCCAAAAGCCGCAGGCAATAAAGGAAAAGACTGCTCCCGAGCTCTTATCTCCTACCTGCAGCGAACTGCTTGCTTCGGCGGGGCGAGCGAGGTTGGCGTTGGTACGGATCAGTGGATCCGTAGAGGTCGGCGGTTCCAGTGCTCAGCAGTGTGATCTTCTGCATAAAATCCACAACAGCCAAACCATTGCAGTTTCCAAATGCAACTCTGAGAAAAGAAACACTCTTCAAAGACATTGTACTTTGGTATTACGGGCTACAAGAAATGACCCACAATGGAAGTGTGAACAGGGCGGAACGAGGGGGAATATATTCCAAGCCACATGGTATCTAAAACGCTTTCCTCTCTCTTCTTCACGATCTTCACAGGTGCTCACAGCCACTCACTCCCCCCTTCAAATCATGCTCGCCTCACTAACGCAACTTTTATGCCATGTTCATAGCAACGTACATGTCTCCCGGGTCACATATCCTGTAACTCCCCCCACACACAAAGGTACTCGTTCATCCCTTTGACCGACCACAGAGAAACTCCCCATTCACACATTCTCACTTTTGAACTGACACCAGAGAGCACTTCTCTAGTCATTTACATACATTTCGTATTTTAGCGACACAACACCGCTCTCACGTGCGCCTGCATCACTTCAGCATGCCAGAATGCCATGGGCTCATCTTAGTTTGGTGGATCCTGCCCATAGTTTTTGAAGAGGAATATGGTTATTATGGGGTAGGGGGAGGTGGCACTGTATAGCCCAATCTCGTCAGATCTCGGTAGCTAAGCAGGGTCGCTAACTTGGAAGGGAAACCACCAAGGAAGACTCTACCGAGGAAGGCCATGGCAAACCATCTGTGCTTAGTCACTCACCTTGAAAACCCTGTGGGGTCGCCATGAGTCAGCTGTGATCTGACAGCACTTTAGGCACACATGGATATGGGACATGATGCTAGGCAACTTCCTAGGTTTTTTATTATTCCACCCCATTTCTAAAAGTTTCACCGGGAGTTAGATTTAAACAAACGATTCAGACAATGTTCAGGTTTTAACAATGATTTAATTTTAGCGTAGATGTTTGCTTAACTGCTAAAGATGTAATCTCTTTGATTGTTAATAGGTTATCGCTGACATTAGGAAAGTTTTCGTTTGTTCTTTTAAAGTGAGAATCTATCCCAAAGCACTTTAATATTGATGTTTTATTGTCTGCTTCTACATTTGAAATACGTAATGCATCTGATAAGACTTGTTGTACGTAACGACTCAAAATATCTGACGAACTTGATGAATCTATATGTTGCCCTGTCCCCTTTTCCCTTCTGTATACCAGTTCTTGTTTTTTTTAGAAAATAAAATAATAACAAAAAAAGTTTCACCGGGGGGGATGGCCAAACCCTGAACTGAATGGTGCAAGCTCTCCAAAGAGAGCAGGGGGGGGGGCTACTGCCCCAGCCACCCTGGGCCCTGAAACAATAGCACCCCGCAAACTCAATGTTATGTACTGATACTGTTTCCCTGCAACCCAGGCCTTCCAGAATGAAGGTGAGCTTGGGGGGAAATACAATAGACCCGCAGGATCCTGGCAGCCATCTATCGGGATGCAATTAGTGTGTAAATAGCCTATTGTTGGGAGTGGGTGTGTTTGGGGTGTGCCGTTTGACGGGATTATAAGCAGGGCTTTGGCCCTGCTGGAGTCGTCTTGTAGTTAGAGCTGAGTCACAATAAACTACGAGCTGATCACTACTCGCGTGTCGAACCCAGTATATATTTTACTCATTTACAGGGTAGCTGCCGCCATCAGTCACCTTGAGATCTGAGACAGAGGGCTTTTTCGCATTCTCAATTTCCTCATTCAGTTTATGTCCAGCATAAAAACCTGCAGTCTAAATCTGCAGGGAGATATGCCAGACATAAACCCATGTAATATCGAATCGACCACTAGAGGGAGCAAAACACATGAGGGACAGAAAAAGACCCCAAAGAAACAGACCCTCACAACAAGGTAGGAACGTGAAAAAGCCCAGATTCTAACAGATCCACTTCTACCTTCTCTCTGTCTCGCTCACACAGTTAAACACACAGCCTGGCTCATTTGAGAGTTGGCCAGCACATCCTTTTTATGCCGGGCCATCCTTGGTTCTCTTAAGAAAAAAATTCTATTTGGGGGAGGGGGTACAGAATAAGAAGTGACGGTGGATGACATTACTTGAAGGGGAGAAATAGGGAAAACAGGGAAGGATTTCAGACACATGGACGAATGCAAGGCAGAGGAACAAACACAGAAAGCTAACACAACCCGGAAGAACGGGTTCCTCAGCTTAATGGTGTACAGATCCTGAGCCACGTGGGCCTGATATAGGCCTATCCCTTGCTTGTTCCTGGGTAATGAGATTTTATGAGTCACTGCTTACTTCTTCAGATACCAATAAGTTCATCCCCTGCCACAAATGTTGTTCATCTTTCAGGTGCTCCTGGACTCTTGCTCTTTTCTACCGCTACAGACAGGCAAACACGGCTACCCATCTGGATCTGTCATTCTCCAGAGGTCCTTTTACATCTTTATCATCTAACTGCCCCGCTGTCAGTTGTGAAGTGTTCTTGCTTCTCATTTTTAAATGTGTTTTTAATCTCTGCCGTATGTTTTTATTACTGATCTGTTCCTCAGATTCCCTACTGTTCTTGTCTTACTTTAAATCTGCATCACTTCGCCTAAAGCCTCACACTCTCAGCACGAAGCCTCCTCTCCTTATATAAAAGAAATCCACATATTTGTAGACTCCCCTGAGGATCCCTTCCCCCCTCGCTAAAAGACAGGCTAAGTTGTGGGTGATTCTCTTCATTTAGAAAAAATGAGCATGAGTAATGCTGAATACCTTTAACACCTTTAGAGTCCGATCAGACGGCTCTTTAGATCCGTGCGAGGCACGTTTGCCTCACGGATCTAAAGGTAATGTCCAGGCACTAACACCTGGGAAATGTCCCTGTTCCGTGGGCATCCCGTTTTGCCACGCTTAGGAGCCGTACTTAAAAGATACCACTTTAAATCTGGGGGGTTTCGGTTACCTGCGGGACAACTGCGGACTTTCATCCGTCTGATTGTTCCACCAGCGCACAATCCTCCCATAGGGTGGTCTGACATCAGAGCCTCCCGAGCGGGCGCCATTTAAAAAAATCTCTACACATGTGCGGATCGACAAGGACTTGCTGTCACGTCTATGCGTGTGCGCAAAGTCTTTTTTTTTAAACCCACTGCACGCCTCCTTCAGCAAGGACGCACTGTGACGCCTATGCGCATGTGCAAAAAGTTTTTTTTTAAATCCCACCGTGCAGGCCTCCTTTAGTGGATGCCATCTAGACAATCCACAACAGAAGCAGTGTGCAGTAAGGCGATTCACCAGGGGGATGTCTGGTCATGCTACAATGGATTTAAAAGATCGGGATAAAATTCAAGCTGGCATAATGACGGGATTAGCTGTCCGCTTGAACGCACCCATAATAATCTTTCTTCACCCCCCCCCCGCATTTATGCAGAGCCTCCAACAATCCCCTCTCCTCAATCAAAAAGGCAGGAATTTTTTTTCTTTCTGTTATGTTAATTTCTGTTGAGGACTAGCTCCTTCTGGTCATCAACGAATGAATAGAGCAAGGGTCCCCAACCTTTTTGAGCCTCTGGTCACCTTTGGAGTTCTGATACAGCGTGGTGGGCACAGCTGTGACAAATGGCTGCCGCAGGCAAAGTTCCCACTAAGCTGAGGTAGTGTGAGCCAGCTGAGCTCACAGTCTTTTAGCCTCCGGCTCACACATTTTTGTCTGAGCTGAGGAAGGACAGCTCCAGAGCAAACTGATTTATGCAGTAGCCAAATCGCTTGCTTGCAACTTTAATGCCAGTTGCTCAGAGTAGAATTTTTGCTCACAGGACTCCACAGCTTAGAGGGAGCTCTCACCACAGGAGGTGCAGCCAGCCACAAAATGGCTGTCACAGCTTCCCTTCAGGTATTTTGTCAAGATCCTAGCATTGTGTTGGCAGCTGCTGCCAAACCAATGTTTTCAAAAATCTGCCCAGCCAATCAAATCTCCAATGGCCAGTAGCCCCATCTGGCCCCGCCCACTTTCTAGAAACACTTGATGGGCACCATGTTGGAAACTCCTAGAATACAGCAACTGGCTAGCACTTCTGTGACATCCTTCAATTACACTGCTTCCCCTTCAGAAACAAAAAGCTATGTGTATGGATGTGTCCTTCCTAAAACACATTGGATTTTTACATGTTTAAAATAAAGCAGATTTTTGGGGGGTGAAAAGAATGTTAGAGATCTGTGCCCAAATGGAGAAGGAGGGGGAGGAGAAGGAGAAAAAGAATCACTTGCCATTTCCCTATGAAGAAAGGTGAAAACGCTTGGCCCCTATGAAGAAAGGTTAAAGGGCTTGGGGCTCTTTAGTTTGGAGAAACGATGGCTGAGGGGTGACATGATTGAGGTTTATAAGATTATGAATGGGATAGAGCAAGTAGAGAAAGAAGTACTTTTCTCCCTTTCTCACAATACAAGAACTCGTGGGCACTCCATGAAATTGCTGAGCAGTCGGGTTAGAACAGATCAAAGGAAGTCCTTCTTCACCCAAAGAGTGATTAACACATGGAATTCACTGCCACAGGAGGTAGTGGTGGCTACAAGCATGGACGGCTTCAAGAGGGAATTGGATAAAGATATGGAGCAGAGGTCCATCAGTGGCTATTAGCCACAAGGTATAGATAGGAACTCTCAGGCTGGGGCAAGGGATGCTCTGTCTTCTTGGTGCTTCGGGAGGGGGGGGCAACAGTGGGAGGGCCTCTAGTGTCCTGGCCCCACTGCTGGACCTTCTGATGGCACCTGGTATTTTTGGCCGCTGTGTGACACAGAGTGTTGGACTGGATGGGCCATTGGCCTGATCCGATATGCCTTCTCTTATGTTCTTATGTTAAGAAGGAGAAGGAGAGGAAGAGGAGGAGGAAGAAGAGGAGGGTGGAGGAGGAGGAAGAGAAGATTGGATTTATACCCTGCCCTTCACTCGGAGTCTCAGAGCAACTTACATCTCCTTTCCCTTCCCCTCCCCACAGCAGACACCCTGTGAGGTAGGTGGGGCTGAGAGAACTCTGAGAGAACTGCCCTTGAGAGAGCAGCTCTGAGAGAACTTGTGTCTGACCCAAGGTCACAACATCATGTGGACACACAAAATGAAAAAAACACACCAGTTGGGTGCCTGAAATGTGGGGAATCCTTGTTGGGAAAGCAGCTTTGGTCTCTCAAAGCCAGTCTTGCATACCACCTATCTGATCTTTTTAAATGGAGGCTGTTCCGTCTGACGCTGAGTCAACAGCGTCTTCTGGACAGATTCAATGCACAGCCAGAGTCAAAGTAGAATTAAATCATTTTTTATTAAGTTCCACATGCATTCAGAAGAATTCTTACTCACATCTTTTGTAATCTAATTCAGTTCACTGGCTCATGGTGAAAAGGATTGCGTGTCCCACCTCCTTGCCGTTTTAAGAGAACGAAGGCCACAAGAAGAGAGCTGTAAACTCGAATCTTTGTGCCTCTGTGTGCCGGATGCTGTGGGATGTCTAACTAAAGACTTCAATTCCCAGGAACCACTGCTCTTAAAGATATATGGCAGTTCTACTTAACTACAGTTTAAAACGCTTGCTGGGGCAGCACAGAGGCGCTATGTGGGCTTAAACCTGGGACTGTCTACATGCAAAGCAGATGCTCCGCCCCTGCCCCCCACCCTTCCAGGGTGCCACCCACCCACCGTGCCTTTTAAACTAACCTCCACATAATCGCGTTAGATACCTGAGTGAATCTGGCTGTTGTTTTTCATTACATTTTAAGCTGACCTATTTTAACAGGAGGGGCGAAGATACAACGTGAAAGGAGGAGTCCTTTCAAGGGGCGCGGTCACAGTGATCCCCCAACCCTCTCCCCACAAAGACTCAGGGACATGTTTCAGGTTGCGGAGCGTAAGCAAGGACAGCAAAGGCGAAGCGGCGCACACATGCTCTGCTTGCGCAAGACGCAGCCCATCGTGTGAAGGTAGACAGGGGGTTAACTTACAATCCGTACGCTGAATTTGCTGCCAGGCTGGTGATTGGCTGGGGAGGCTCGCCCTCCACCCACACCAACTGGATGACGAGGTCCGCTTGGTAACCGGGAGGCATCCTCAGGGGACGGGTCTTAATGCTGAGGAGGGAAAAAAACGGGGAATGGAGTGAGCAAGATTACTCATTTCGTTTTCTTTATTTTGACATGTCTCTTTGCCGCCTTTCTTCCCGATGGAGCGCAAGCAGGGGTCACTTCGTAGAAAAAGAGGTGCAGGGGCTCATTTGCATGGCTCATTTGCATATGCCACACCCCATGACAAAGGGCAGGCGTTTTAAACATGGCTGGGTTTCCTGCCTGATCTTCTCAAAATCAGTCAGGGAAACCAGGCATGTTTAAAATGCCTTTTTTTCCCTTCCCCATTTGGGGAAGGGAAGGAAAGGCATTTAAACCTCCCCCCACTTCCCTGAGTTTCTCCGCAAAAGTGGAGAGGCTCAGGGAAAAAAGGGAGCATGTCTGCCCGCCTCCCCTTCCCCTCCCAGCCAACCCGCCGCAGTGGGCTGGCTGGAAAGGGGAAGAGAAGGGCGGGCAGGCAGACATGCCTGTGTTCCCTGCTGCTGGGCACCTGGAGAAGATCGGGCAGGGAACCCAGGCATGTTTAAAATGCCTTTCTTTCCCTTTCCCAGATGGGGAAGGGAAAGAAAGGCATTTAAATCCCCCCAGGCAGTGGGAGGGGGGCTCTGCAGGCCTTCCCTGGCCCATCCGCATCGGCAGGCAGGCCAGGAAAGGCGGCCGGGGGGGCACCCCCAGGCTCCTTACTGCCGGAGCGCTGCTGCAGCACGCTCCGGCAGGAAATGACGCCTGAGAGCAAGGCGACGTACAACATGGACCGAACACATAAGGATACATTAAAAACATAGATCAAGATGGATCAAGATGGATAGCTGTGTTAGCCCTGACCCGGATAGCTCAAGCGAGCCTAATCTTGTCAATCTTGGAAGCTAAGCAGGGCTGACCCTGGCAAGGACTTGGAAGAGAGACCTCCAAGGAATACCAGGGCTGGGGACGCAGGGGCAGGCTATCAAGCTACTTCTCTGAATGGCCCCTGTGCCCCAGTAGGAGTCGTCAGAGGTCGCCATGACTTCCAGGCACAGGCGCACAAACACAGAAAAAAGATGGGTAGCCATGTTAGTCTGAGATCTGAAGAAGTGACCAGCAACTCACGAGCGCTCCTACCCTATCACAAATTTTGTTAGTCTTTAAGGAGCTACTAGACAGGGAATGAATATATCTTTTCTATAGATCAAGATGGGTAGCCGTGTTATGTTATAATTGTGGATGTATATTAATGATTCTGTGGGTGACTAACTGACTGGGTTGTAATCTCAGATTCTCAAGACTTCTGCATACGGTTTTGCAGTTTCTGATATGTTATACTTAATCTTAATAAAGGTTTCAAAATTAAAAAAAATAAAAGATGGGTAGCCGTGTTCGTCTGTCTGTAGCAGTAGAAAAAAAGCAAGACTCCAGGAGCACCTTGGAGACTAACAAAACTTGTAGCAGGGGGGTGATCTTTCATGAGTCACAGCTCACTTCTTCAGATACAGTGAGAGTGTGAGTCCATCGTTCCTTATATCTCGGAGAGTGGAGTGATTCCAGATGCCAAATGGCAACAGCAGGCGAATGACAACAGCAGGTAGATCGAGATGGGTAGCCACAGGGCTATTTTTGGGCAGGAACGCACAGAAATGGAGTTCCGGCTGGCTCCTGAGTTGGCCACGCCCAGCAGGAGCTCATTAGCATAATAGGCCACACCCAACAGCAGAAACTCCTTAGGATTGGCTACATTAGGGGTGTGTGGCCTAACATGCAAAGGAGTTCCTGCTACAAAAAAAGGCCCTGGGTTTTGACAACAAACAAGGTAAACAGAATAAGAAGCAAAAGGTGGGTGTGGCTGGATGAGCACACTTCTGGTAACATGGGGGTGCGACCTAATGTGCTAATGAGCTGTGCTGCCAGGGGTGTAGCCTAATATGCTAATGAATTTCTGCTGTTGGGTGTGGCCTATTATGCTAATACGTTCCTGCTGGGTTTTTTCTACAAAAATATTCGTCTATCTGTAGCAGCAGAAAAGAGCAAGAGTCCAGGAGCGCCTTAACGACTAACCACATTTGTGGCGGGATGATTCCGTATTAGGCAGCTTCGTGCGCATATTCATCTGCTCCGCCAGCTCCTCCCACAAGCTTTTCCATGGGATCTAACCTTACATTTGCTACGTACGCTAGTGTATGGTCATATGTTTTTATTTACTACACATTCCTTCCTGGACCTCCCAGTAGCCTGCCGTCCCCACGCCTGCCTAACTTCAGCAATCTTGCCACACCCTCGAACAGGCAGGGCGCCCATATTTAGATACAACACCTAGTTTAACAGAGAGACCAAATATAGTTTATTCAGAGATTTATTTGCAGAGAGCACCATCAAAGTACGTGGCGCTCTCTCAAGAGTAATAAGCCCAAGACATAAAGCGAACACTCTAAACTTTGACAGTGAGGGAGACAACCGAGGGAAGAGAAAATAAAGCTTTCAACCAATGGCGAGTGTGGTACCTGAGGCAGGGGATACTGTCTTTCACTGTCCCCACAGACGTCATGGTGTTTGTGCTGCCTGAGAGATCTTTTAAAGACGGAAGTTGAGAAGATGCATCCGGAAAGGGAGGGATCATTTCGGCCTCCGGGCTGATGATATCTTCTATCTCGCTCTGAAGTCGCACCTCTAAGGACTTAAGGACATTAGAATCCACATTATTTTATGAAATCGGAGAATTAGAAAGAATAAAATAAACAGGAATCCATCCAGTTGATTCCTGGATATCGGCTGAGGTAACGGAGGTATGGAGCTCAAGATAATTCTTCGATATTAGTCCAACGAAAGGAAAGGGAAACGTGAAGTCCAGCGCCCTGGAACAAACACAACCTGAAATCCACCCCTAGACACATAGAGCATGCTCATTAGCGGGGAAAAAATTGATTTGAGGTTAGAAGAAGTACTAAAATGGAGTGAACATACAAAGTTGCCTTCTACAGCATCTGAGCATTGGCCTATTGAGGTCAGTCTTCTCTCCTCTCACTGGCCACAGTTCTCCAGGGCCTCAGGCAGGGATCATCCACCTGGCCTACTACATGATCCTTTTAACTGGGGATGTTCAGAATCGAACCCGTGATCTTCTGCATGCAAAGCAGGTTGGTCTGCCACAGAGCCACGGCCCCTCCCCAACAGGAAAACGACACGAATCTGAAGTCCTGAAATGTTCGGTGGAATTCATGCACAATGAAAAGAAAGGTTTTCTGCTAAGCACGAGATGGAAGGAGATCGTTTGCAATGTCTTCAAGAGACGCAGCTCCTTGTGTGACTCTCCACAGGACTTGGAGGCCAATAATGCTGTTGCTGAAGCACAAGGATGGGGTACAGAAATCGGGTATCGCCCGGTGAAAATGTTTTGATTTCACAGATTAGTGAAAACACTGGGCTATTTTTTTGCTGGTTTGTTATCTTGGAAAATGAATAGAGTTTTGTGGCATCCAACCGGAATAATCAACTAGCTCACACCTAGGTTTTAGAGAAGGCCTTCCCAGACCACTGGCCAAACCGGCAAGTATCAAGGCATAAGCTTACTACCATTCGGTATATTTCCTTTCCTCAAAAGAGTATTGTGGTTTTTGGACGGTGGTTGGGTTATTCCTGTTTCAAATAACTGGTGTACTTAGCTGAAACTATTCCATGATAAACATAGTTGAGCACAGGGCTTTTTTTGGTAGAAAAAGCCCAGCAGGAACTCATTAGCATAATAGGCCACACCCAACAGAAGAAACTCATTAGCATATTAGGCCACACCCCTGATAGCACAGCTCCCTCCCAGGATCGGCTTCCCCAGGTGCCCCGTGGCTTGCGGGGCGCATGGGGAACCCGAGGAGGGGAGGCAGTTTAAACTGCCTTCCCTCCCTGGATCGGCGTGGCTTCCCCAGGTGCCCCGTGGCTTGTGAGGCGCCTGGGGAACCTGGGGGGGGGATGTAGGCGTGGCCAACTCAGAAGCCAGCCGGAACTCCGTTCCTGTGCGTTCCTGCCCAAAAATAGTCCTGGTTGAGCACATAATGCAATTTTACACTTGGTTAATTAAAGCCAAACTTTTCACACATCCTATTTTGGAACTAACACCCTTCAAATAAGACAATGGATATACACGAAAACACATTTGAACTTACCGATACTTCAGCATTGACTTCGTGTTTGCTGAATCTGTAAACAATAACGTAGGCGGAGGCTCCCGCTACACAGAATATCCGACTTTCAGGGCACCAGTACATCAACTGGATGGCAAAAGGATCATCTTCTACAATTTCCGCTGTCGCCTTTCCTTCCACTTTCTGTTTCTCAAACACCTTTGAGGTTTTTAACTTGTACAACATCTGAAGTGTTACTGGAAGACATTGAGGGACATCTATCGTATTGCTTCAGGCAAAATAAAATTACAAATTAATGTAAGAACATAAGAGGAGCCCTGTCTCACACAGTGGCCAACCAGTTCCCCCGGAGGTCCAATGACAGGACATCGAGGCTGAAGCCTTCCCCTGATGTTGCCTCCTGGCTCTGGGATTCAGAGGTTTACTCCTTTTGAAAGTGGAGGTTCCTTTCAGTCACCATGGCTAGTAGCCACTGATAGACCTATTCTCAGGGAGTTAAAAAAAAAATAGAGGTGCCAGAACTCTCAAGAGGGAAAAGCAGTTTTCAGTCTGCACACTGAAAACTCATGAACTTTTAAACATTTGTCAAAGAGGTTCCGGCACTCCATTCCAGCGTATCCCCCCCAGAAAAAAGCCCTGCCTACCCTCAATTAATCCATCTAATCCCCTTTTAAAGCCATCTCTGCCTTTGGCCATCACAACATCCTCTGGCAGCAAATTCTGCATTCTATTCACTTTCTGAGTAAAGAAGGATTTCCTTTTGTCCGTCCCGAACTTCCTGCCCATAAGCTTCATTGGCTACCCTCATGTTCTAGTACAGGGGTGTCAAACTCATTTGTTATGAGGGCTGGATCTGACATAAATGAGACCTTGTTGGGCCGGGCCACGTGTGTCATAAAATGTAATGCCAGGTGGCGTAGATATTAATTTTATAAAGGACACAAACAAAGAGGTTTTTTAAACTTAAAAACATGCTCAAAACATTAGCATTCTTGCAATATTTTGTTTAGTAAACGTCTGATAGCTGACACCTCTTGCTCTGAATTATTGCATCAAAATGTCTGTGCTGTTGCAATCTTGAGTATGCTGTTCAGGTGTGTATCTATAAGCTGCAAATCTATGATGACGCAGCAGCAACAGCAGAACTGGAAGAAGAAGCAGAAGACAGCCAGTTTCACTGCGGGCCTGATAGGAGCCCTCCAGGGGCCTGATCCGGCCCCCGGGCCGCATGTTTGACACCCTTGTTCTAGTATTTTGGGAGAGGGAGAAAAAGTTATCATTGTCGCAGTCCCCCCCCCCCCCGCTTTTTTTTTGCAAAATTTTACAAAGTGCCCATTTTTTCCCCCCCGATTTTATAGTACAATACTTCAAAGTGACGTGGTACAGTGTGCACATCAGCAGGCTGACAGAACAATCCTAAACGGAGTTACAACTTTCTAAGTCCATCTAAGTCTTCAAAGCCCTTTGCCAGGTCCATAGCCAGGAATTTATTTGTTTGGGGGGAGGCATTTAATTTTTAAGGGGGCAGTTAAATGACAGCTAATTGCCTGTCTTTAAAGGGGGAGTCTCCGAGCCTATTTCTAGCCCTTCCTTTCAAGGGACGGGGCAGTCAGCGTGTCAGTTCCGAGGGAAAAAACCACTCAGAGGGCGCTTGATTGCCTTCAGAAGGCATTTAAATGCCTTCTGAGTTCCCTTCCACAAGGCAAGAAAGCTTAGAGGGGTACTCAAGAGTGGCACCTTCAATACATCTCCAACAATCCCCCTTTCTGCTAGCCTAGTCCATTTAAATGTCCCCTGAGCTGTCTTTCCCCAGGCCCGTAGCCAGGATTTTTAAAGTCAGGGGGCATTTAAATTTTTTAGGGGGCACTGGCTAATCAAACGCCTGCGGCTCTTTCACACCTATTGTGCGGCTCCCGGCAGGGCGGCTGGGGAAGCTAAACATCATTAGCAAACAAATATCAATGGACAAATAAATATCATCCTCAATATCTGATTTTACGGCTTTTGTTATTATTCTGGCAGTCTCATTTATAATGCTAATAAAAAAGCAAATTTGCATATTCCCCAATAAAGATGTGTAATATTTGTTCGTCTCTTGCGGCTCTCAAACATCTGATGTTTATTCTATGTGGCTGTTACGTTAAGCAAGTTTGGCCACCCCTGACCTAGGTCATGCATGTTTCCCAAAGGCTCGTGGGAATGTCTTTGAAAGACTCACCACGATCTTGGGGGTCTACAGCAGGACTGGGCTAGCAGAGCTGTTGGCTTTGTAGGAAATATGTGGGTTGTTCTGTGACCATGGGTGAGTACCATCTTAAATTTTTTAATGACTCGACTGTACAACTTTTGGAATACGTTACATTTTTGTGCCTTGATCGACAGTTCTACCACTGCCAAAAGTATCAGCCGACGTAATCCTTATCTGTTCATCTTTATGCTACATTTTCTTTTCTGCAACTTTCCCATAATCAAATATTCTCACTGAATAGGAGCGGTGTCTAAGTGACACTCAAATTGTACCCACGCACCAGGCAAGAGATGGTTGGTCATATGCTTTCTTGAAAAATGCCCGAACACCAAAATGAGCCAAAACGTCCTCGCCTCCCTATGAGGCACGACTGTTTCAGGCTTTTTAAAAACATACTCCAGGACTGCCTCTACTCCCCGACATAATTCAAGACAGGCTGGTGTTCACCAATTAAGAAAGCAGACTCTGTGCAGGCTTGGATTCCTCCCAGGCAAAGAGATGAGGCATTAAGTGTTCTGTTGACAAACTCTAGAGGAGAAAGTTTTTCCTTTGATTTCCGAGCAGTTTAAAATTAGAACACATATTTTATCTAGGGTGGAAACGATGAGGACGTTCCCAGTGGCTAATTTAAGGGATGAGATGTAGAAGTTCTCCGGCCTTGACCTGGACGGCCCAGGCTAGTCCAGTCTCATCAGATCTCGGAAGTTAAGCAGGGTTGGGCCCTGGTTTGTACTTGGATGGGAGACCACCAAGGAAGTCCAGGGCTGTTATGCATAGGCAGGCAATGGCAAAACCACCTCTGTTCATCTCTTGCCTTGATCAGTTGTGACGTGACAGAACTTTCCACCACCAGAATTTTTCTGACCCTACGGTTCCCGAGTTGGTCAAAGAACTACAAGCGGGCAGCTTAAGATATGAGCCTCTAGCCAAGGAGGAGAAAGCCCTGCACAGACAAGGGCAGGAGGAAAGTGAGGAACACCTCAAAAGGATTCAGGAACTGACAAAGGGAAACTAAGAGCTGAGGGTGGGTGAGGATGCAGAAGATGACGTCCCAGTGCCTGGAAGAGCAGCCAGCATCCTCTTGCTCCGTTTACCTTGGCCAATGGGGTATGCTAAAGATGGACGTATACGAGGAAACTCATGATGCCGTGAGGTTAAACTAGAGTATCCTGAGAACGTCACTTTACCAGTAAGGGTTGCCAGGTAGCCCGGAGAAAAGTAACCCGTCCTATTAATAGAAACTTAATGGGATGTTATTTATCAGGTGATGTTATTTATCTCCATGCCGTGAAAAGCTTCATCTGCCTATTTGCACACCCTGAAGTCTCTGTTCAAGGGCAATCCATGTTGGCAATCCATGATTTCTTAATCCACCTGGATCTCCCTTCTTCCCTCATCATGGGCAAGGTCTCTTTCCAGCCTTATCTCAAACACTGTTTGGTGCGTCACAAGACAAAAATACACATTAGGCCCAACACGTGTCGGGTCTTGGGTGTACAATCCGACTCGCTGTCAGATACTTGTCAGGGGGTAACACTGCTCGTTTGCTTGGAACTGTGAAAGAGAGTGTGTGTGTGGGGGAGTTTCTGATTTGCCACCTGCCAGGTTTTTGCCAGCAGATGCGGCCACAGGGGGGGCTTTTGGACCCTTTTCTCTGGCTTCTCATGCCCTGGGAAGGACTCATGGAGCCAGAGAAAAGGGGTGAAAAGTGCCCGCCACCCATTCCGCTAGTGAAAATGGGCTGAGGAGGAAATAAAGTTCCTTCTCTCCCTCACAGTGCTGAGCCAACAAGCACTGTTTAAGGTGAGTTCGCCCAGCGTACACCTGACTGCAATTGGGGTTGTACACCTAGGATCCAAAATGTGCCAGGCATCATTTGTATTTTGGCCCTCGGCTACTCTGAATGGCATTTTACACTTCTCCCCATCAATGGGGTTGCCAGTCTCCAAGTGGGAACATAGAGATCTCCCAGAATTACAACTGATCTTCAGACTACAGGGATCAGTTCCTCTGAAGAAAATGGCTACTTTGGAGGGTGGATGCTATGGCAACATACCCTGTCGATGCCCCCCCACCTGGCCTGTAGCTAACAATGGGGCCCATGGGGTCCGGCCCCCTAGTGTTCCTTCTGGGCCCGCTCCCTCCTGGGCTGCCGTTCTTTCCGGAAGTATGTTTTCCGAGATATCTTATTCATGCCTACTGCATACAATCCTGCTAAATACACCTTTGTCATTTTAATACCAATCTACAGCTTTTTGCAACCTTTCATTTCTTAGCTTCAGTTACAATTACTTCTATTTGTTCCAAATTATTCTTTTCCATTTTCCCCAGTGATTACAGTTACTCAATAATCATTGGGAAGCATAGATAATTTAGAGGAGGACGTATTTTGATGGTTCAGGGTGCCACTTCACAAGAATAAGATTTTAACGAAGACACAGATGTAACACCAGAGGGTTGCGTTGCTGTTTTAGGGTCTTTCCGGAAATATGTTTTCCGTGCGATCTTATTTATGCCTACTGCATACAATCCTGCTAAATATACCTTTGTCATTGTAATACTAATCTACAGCTTTTCGCAACCTTTCATTTCTTAGCTTCAGTTACTTGAAATGTATTGTTGCCCGTTTCAACAATCCCAACAAACCCTCTCCCTTTGGGGTTTCTGACATACAACGAAGAAAATGGCTACTTTGGAGGGTGGGTGCTATGGCAACATACCCTGTTGATGCCCCCCCACCTGGCCCGTAGGTAACAATGGGGCCCACGGGGCCCGGCCTAGGGGGGCGGTGTTTCTTCTGGGTCCGCTCCCTCCTGGGCTGCCCCCAAAGTGCTCCAAATTACCACCTGCACTGTACTTCCATTTAATTAGCTGGCGGGGCCCCCGAGCCCCCCACACAAAGAATTCCCTAGCTACGGGGCTGCCCCCATCAACCCCTGCCACTGCCGGAGCTCCGCTCCTGTGTGCTCCTGCAGGAAATGACCCCTGATCCTACACCCTTTTCATATAGTCTCACAACGTATTCCTTACTTTGGTGATCTCCAGACAGGCAAACCCTAAGTTTTGGGCCCAAATTAACCATGTAAGACACAAGTGTTATCTCCTAAGAGAAAAGAACCAGGTCTTGGTCGATGCAGTGAAACACATCTTCACATAGGATCCTGCCGTGTTTCTGCCTGTTTCCTATCAGTCTCTCTAGCCTGGCTGGACTTCTCCTTGCCTACTGCTGTACACTTTCTAGATCCGTGGCCCCTGACGCAGTGCCTGACAACACTTTTTCTAGTGCCCACCAAGTGTTTACACAGTCGTCAATTACTTCTATTTGTTCCAAATTATTCTTTTCCACTTTTCCCAGTGATTACAGTTACTCAGTAATCATTGGGAAGCATAGATAATTCAGAGGTGGACGTATTTTGATGGTCTCTCCCCCCACCCCCCAAGGTTTAGGGTGCCACTTCACAAGAACAAGATTTTAACGAAGACACATACGTAACACCAGAGGGTTGCGTTGCTGTTTTAGGTTCTTTCCGGAAGTATGTTTTCCGAGATATCTTATTCATGCCTACTTAGTGCCCACCAAGTGTTTTTACAAAATGGGTGGGGCAAGCTTGGGCTTTTTTCCAGCAAGTCTTCTGGCTGTGAAGATTCTTAGTAGCTGCCATCACAGCAAAAGGACATTCACTTAAGGTAGACTGTGGCAGCCATTTTATAGCTGGCTCTGCTGTGGCGGCCATTTTGTGGCTGCATCCACCACACCGTTTCAAAATTTTAAGGGCGCTCACGGGCTTAAAAAGATTAGGGACCCTTGTTCTAGTTTAAAGGTCTGCACCAGCCTCTTTCTCTTGAGATGACCAAATGAGCCAGTACAGTCTGCCCTCCCTCAGCCCTCCAAGGCGGAGGTGTCACATTCATTCCTTACGAGAGCCAGAATTGACATAAACGTCACTTTGTCAGGCCGGGCCATGTGTGCCATAAAATGTAATGCCAGGCACCAGAGATAGAAATTTTGTAAAAGACAGCAGCTGGCAAGTGCCACTACCCAATCTACCAGGGTCCAGGTCATTTGAATTAAACCTGGAAACAAAGCGGAGGCTAGTGAAGATCTTGTAGTCCGGAGGTAATCCCCGTCAACCTGCTTCCTGCAGCATTTAGGGCCAGATGGAGATTCCAAAAAATGGCAAATATACTTTTAACTGCCCACCCCCCAAATGACAGAGATCAAGGGAGGGCTTCTTTAATAGTGGCCTCTCAGTATTACTTCCTTCCAATAAACTGGAATAATGCCTTTCTTGAAAGACACATAGGGAATATACATCAAACAGCCCAACCAGTTTTCTCAGTATGGATAGGGATTGAGCAGGGGTACTGTAAGATGAACAAAACCGGATATTCTCGTCCACATCCTTGGGTGTTAGTAATTAAAACTCATTTAATGAAAATCTGACCTGAGGAGGACCCGAGTTACACAACTACTAGCCCTGAAACAACGGTGGTCAAGGTCAGATTTGGATGCAAGAAATTTCACCCAGGGAAAACTCTGCAGGACCAAGGGGTCTGCAAGATACCAAGGGGTCTCAAATTTCCAAGGAATGACAGCCCAGCTGTGAAAGCCCTTGGGCCATGTGGAGATGGAGACGAGGCAGGTTCAAAGGTGGGAGAGAAGTAACGTTTTCTTTGTTGCCATCACCATGGAACAGGTCTCCAAAAGAGCTCCAAACCATGTTTGGTCATTATTCACCCAATGTTTTCGGACACCTGTGCCCCAAGTCACTGTCTCTGTCTCCTCCTCCTCTGCTCCTAATTAAATCTTTAGCAGGACAGGACTCTAGCCACCAGAAGAGGATGCCTAGCAACAGGTGGGTGTGTGAACCACCTGAGCCAACTGTGTTGTTCCGGGAGTCAACTAGCGGTTTGACAAGAGACCCGGCCAGATAAGTTAAGGAATCCCACAAGACTTTTGAGAAGCCACTCGGGAGCCGTAAGCCTCTGGGATTGGACCACCCCGACAAAATCACCACTCCCATGGAGACCAGTGCCCGGTAATGATAATTTCCTTACCCTGTAATAATAATTTCAGGATATGTCTGCGCTCCGAGGTTCCACGCTCCACCATTGATAGGCCACTCCTAAACACAATCATGAGAGTTACATTTTAGGAAAGTTACATTTCTCATTTAGGGCACGGATAAAAGCTGTGTCTTTCAGCTGTGTGGACTTCAGTGGTTGCCCTGCGGAAACTATCGCATTGGTACGCTTTTATGCCTCCTGTTTCATTGGGAGTTCTTAGCAATTGGGAAGGCTGCTGCCTTTCCGCACTTCCATGCTGCCATAGACATCTGGTGAGCATCAGTTTTCAACCCTTTATATAAAAACAAGGTTCTAGTCCCCACTGTTGCAGAGATATTTGAAAACCTACAGTGTCTGCCTCACTTACAAAAGAGGAAGCTTTTTGTGTCTATATGAATTCCCCTTACATCCTGGTAGACTGAGGAAGAGTCCAGTCTTTGCTCTGCTGCACTGGCCGCCTCTTTATTATCAGGTTTGAGTCAACATATCTGGGGTGGCGGTCACACGCGCGAGATAACGCGGGGGGGGGGGAAGCGAGGCTATTCCCTCCGGAGGAAACTGACCCACAGTTGCGCAATCACACAGTCCGTGGAAGCTGTAGGGGCAGCCCACCCCTGCATGATCAAACGAACTGCAGGTGAGTCGGGTTGTTGGGTTTTTTGCCGTTTGTTCCCAATGCGCTTAAACGGAGAATCGATGCATCGCATCTCAGCACTGGGAGTGTGCAATGATACGCATACTGCGAAGGGAGGGGAAAATGGCACGGAGTCGGGATGACCCAATCAGACCATCCCGACGCCATGAGAGCGCACTGGCACGATCAGACAGGGAAAAGTCCGTCTTTGGCCCGAGCAACCCGTTTTCTACCTGACTTTCCCCAGTGTCTTTTTACTCCGCTTCTGTGGCAGAGCAAAATGGGTTGCCGACGGGTGCGGGACGCTTGCCAGATGTTCCCGTGTGATCGCGCCCTTTAAATCCACCACGCATTTGCGCCTATGGCGAGGCTAATTGTGCGTGTGATCGCAGCCTGGATTTACCGTTAATGCCCTAAATGGCTTAGGTCCTGAATACCTTTGGGGGCTCCTTCTCTTTGCCCATCGATATCCGAGAGAGAGAATCGGCTCTGACTGTGTCCCATTGTTCACCAGGTGACACTGAGGCGTTTTCCGCAGGGTCGGTTCTCCCCGCGCCTGCAATTATATTCCTCCGCTGCTTTCCCTCATTCCCGCAGATGTTTTTGCAGTCCCAGGCACAAAAACACAGTTTGTCTCCCGTTGTTCCGCAACATCAGACTCCCCTGTTTCCAGGAATTCCCATGATGCACCACAAGAGGGGACAAACTGCGTTTTTGCTCCTGGGAGGGAGAAATCATCTGCGGAAACGAGGGAAAGCTGCAGATGAATAGAAGAGCAGGCAGGGGGGAAATGTGTCACTGCAGAAAACAACTGAGATAGGCAAGGATCACGACCTACTCTGTCACAAGTACACCATGGCAGGGGCCCCCAGCATGGTGCCCACCGAGTGTTTTGAGAAAGTGGGTGGGGCCCCAGGTACGGCTTACACCCAGCAAGAGTTCTAATTGGCCGTCGGAGATTTGATTGGCTGTGCCGATTATTAAAAATGCTGCTTTGGCAGCAGCTGCCACCGCAACACAAGGACTTTGTGACTGAAGGTAAGCTGCGGCAGCCATTTTGTAGCTGGCTCCGCCTCTCGAGGCAGCCATTTTGTGGCAGCCATTTGGGGCTGTGCCCACCACGCTGTGTCAGAATTCCCAAGGCGTCCACAGACTCAAAAAGGTTGGGGACCCCCGCACTATCAGATGTATTTATTTGCAGCATTTTCTGCCCGCCTTTCTCATTGAGACACAAAGCAGATCACAGGATATAAACAGACAGCATAAGACATCCAGTAAACAACACAAGAGCACAAGGATTTCGAAGTCGGGAAAACAGTGCAAAAGAATACGCTTCCCAGATGCTTGGCCGTGCTCCTAACTGGATTTTACCAGCAAATAAACACCTTTTATTTGATTTGGAGAGCAGGCTGTTGCTTGACCAGCTGCTGATTTTGCCATTTTATTATTATTGTGACTTATTACAGATTTTACAATGCCGTGATTAAGGGCGTCATGCTTCTTCATTAGTTTACATTGCTCTGAGTGCCTCCAGGCAGAATACGTAACAAACATGGCAATTTTAAAGGGGAAAGGAGGAGTTCTGATACAGGATCACTGAGAAGCAGCTTTCCATCAGGATGGCAAACACCCAGACAGAGCATCCTAAATCTGTCTAGTTCTTCTGAGCTGCCCTAGCAGGCGGATTTTTGGGGCGCGATCACACCGCAACATCTCGGAAGCGTAGCACACCCATGGCCAACCTGTGGCATCCCGCTGAAGACGCCACAGTAAAAAAGTACCGTGGAACGTGCACTAGTATCCGGAAAACGTGGGGCAGGGGCGGGCGTCTGATCGCAAGAGCACTAGTATCCCGTGGCATCCGGTGCCCGTCCACGTCCCATCACAAACCAGATGTTTTTCGTAAGCGCATGCGCACCAACAAGTAACTGAAAGCAGTGCTGGTCTGTGGAACTGCGCATGTGCATAAACGCGAAACACTTGCCACGCCGCTTCTTTGCCACGCTCCAGCATCGCCGTGTGATTGCCAGCTAACATCCTAAGCGCGAAGCCTCAGCGGACCATGTGATTGGGCTACCGTGCTTTATTTTGCTCCGGGGCAAACAGCCACGCCTCCCTGCCTCATTATCTGGCCCGTGTGACCGGGGCCTTAATCATGTTGTACATCGCCCAGAGCCCTGCAGTAGTAGGGACTGGGCGATCCACAAGTTTAATGAATGAATGAATGAATAAATAAATAAACTGGGCCGAGCCATGTTCCCTCTGCACGTGGGTGGTGCAGAGTGGTGGCACCCCTCGTGGCAATGGCAGCAACACTCGTATGTGCATCACCTGGACTGTACTGCTGGGGAAATGTGTGCCGGTGGTGCGGGCAACTGAGCACGGGCAGTGGAAGGGCTTGCAAGCAGGAAAAAGACATGTGGGCAGGTGGGGGTCATTTCAGGCGAGAGGGCGGAACATAGGGTTGTCACCATCCAGGTGGCACCCGGAGATTTCCTGCTATTGTTAATCTCCAGATGACCGAGACTATGACCAGTGTTCCCTCTAAGCTGAGTTAGTGTGAGCTAGCTCACAGTTTTTTAGCCTCCGGCTCTCACCTTTTTGTCTTAGCTCAGGACGGATGGCGCCAGAGCAAACAAATTCATGCAGTCGCCGAATCGCTCGCTCACAGCTTTAATGCCAGTAGCTCACAGAGTAGGATTTTTGCTCACAAGACTCCACAGTTTAGAGGGAGCATTGACTAGGACTGCTCTGGTGGGTGGATGCTATGACCTTATACCCCGCTGAGGTCCCTCCCCTCCCCAAACTTCCCTGCCGTCTCCAGGCTCCACCCACAAAATTTCCCAGAACTGGTAGCCGTAATGGAAAGGAGGGCATGAGCGGGAGCCCTGGGGGTGTGTAGTTGGGGGCCCCGGGCACCTGTGCCCAGGGCCCCCCAAACCTGGAACTGGCCTTGGATCTCTGAATGTACACTCATTGGACTGGACAGAAGCCTGCATTTTCGTTATCCTTATCGCATCTGTTCAATGTCCTAACCGAAATATCATGAAACAATCAAATACTTATAAAACACAGATAAAACCTTTAGTTAACAATAAAACCGTAACCACTAAAGACTCAGTTTTCCCTGGCCATAGCCCTTCCCAAACAAAAACTTTTCAAACAAGGCAACTTTGTTTTCGTTTTTACCTTATTGCTGTATCCTTGCTTCTTATGTTTTGCGCCTACGGAATACAGCACAGGGATCAAATCGGGAGGACAGTCGGCCAGATATTCTGTGCAGGTAACGGGTGACTCATGAATGTCCATGGGATAAGGATTTTCAAAAATTGGGAAACTGAGAGAGAGAGAGAGATTTTGCGGGACTGTATTAGCACACATGGTAGAAAATCACATCATGTTTACACAAAGTATGCTCTTTTTTATATGGAGGTCCAGTTCTCACCCAAGTAATGGACCTGTGCCTGAGCTGCATCCCATTTACGTTTGTGACCGAGAGCTCTTTTGCAACTAGCTTGAAGAAATGGGGACTTTTCTGTGATCTTTACTGGGAAGAAGACAGTTTTCCAAATGGAGAGAAAATACGTGGTTAGCAAATTAGCAACTAGGGTTGCCAGGGGGTGGTTGGAGATCTCCTGGAATTACAACTGATCTCCAGGTGACAGTAGGGATACCAGACCCCCTAGAAAGGATCCTCCGCTTTGGGGGCCCACCTCTCTGCTGCCGGCCAACTGGCCGGCGGGAGAATTTACCCTCCAAACAGGGGAAAATGCAGAAATTAAACACAATGTGCCTATATGACCCAGAAGTGGTGTAGACACATTGGCGACATCGGGGGGGGGGGGCAACCCTCTGGGCAAAACCCTACGATAGAAGCTAAACCCTCCCAGTTCAATTCCTTGAATGAAAGGGAACACAAAGGAACCCAGGCAGAGGTTCTCGGGTTTTCCTCCCCCCATTTGCTACCCCTTGAAGATCACTCCCCCACCCACACGGAGGCCATTCCACCCACTCTGCCTCTTCCGCCATTCATCGGTGCGCAAGATCCACTTTTTTATTCATTGCTTTGCATTTAATTTAATTTTTTTTTACAAGCAGCATGAGTCTAGTGAAATGAGATTATCACAGGACTTAGATCACTAGGAAAAAATGACAGGGGAAAAAGAGCTTCTCTGAAAGAGGGGAGGGAAAGGGGGGGAGGGGGCAGGGAAAGACCAGCTGCTGTTTCCTGTAGAGATACTCCATTGTGCCAGAATTGTTTTTTAAAAGGACAGATTTTGAATAAATTATACAATGTAAACAGGGGTCATTTTGTAGAAAAGAGGTGCAGGAGCTCATTAGCATAACTTATTTGCATATGCCACACCCCCTGACATCACTGGAAGTGTGTCAAAAGGCAACACTCACCGCTCAGGCTCCACTGGACTGTTCTGGATTGCTAGCTACTGGAGGGGGGGGGGAATGTGCAGATCTGTCCTCGCAGAGGAGA